TGACTGCTTTCTTTCAAAATAGATGAAAAGATGGAGCTGAAAGCAAAGATGAATTTCAGAGTTGCTCCTCTAGGGATGGACAATTCTGGCTCCCAGAAAGCTAACCATAATTTCACAGAAAGGCTCAGAGAATCCTTCTTGGCAGTCTTGCAATAGGAGTGAACAAATGCACAGACTCTTTACCCAAAAATAGCAGAGGCTCATTTTCTTTACCGTGGCATTTATTCTGTTTCTGAGAGCAGGAAAATACAAATCTGTAGAATATAAACAGGCCATTTTGTTCTTGAAGTCAAAGTGTGTTGCATGATGGACAAGCTAAGAAAAGGAAAGGGATTATTGGAGAGGACACACTTTGGAGAAATGGGACTTTGTGCCCTGAGAAAGAAATACATCTTCTGTTTGTCCACAGCCAGCAGGGTTTTTCTATGTTCTCATTCCCAGGTTGATGTGTTGCAGCTCTGTGGGGATGTAGGGACAAGTTTGAGCTGGGATTTAAATAATGCCATTTATTTTCTGCCTCATTTATGGCTTTTACTGGATCTACTCAACTCCATCATAGCAGAGCTTCAGGGAGGGAGCTCTGCAAGCTGGCCAGGAAATACAGGAATAATTCATAGAATAGAAATACTTCTGTGAACCTGATATGGGAAATGTGGAGTTTGGTGAAAAAACAGCAGTGGTGGATTTGAAATGGACATCTTGGACATGGGTGTGGATTCTGACCTCACAGAATCATGGAATCAGAGAACAGTTGGGTTGGAAAGGACCTTAAGGATGTCTGCAATCTGTTGGTGTCACCTTTTCTCTCTGATGAATAGAAATAGTTTCTACACTGATTTTTGAACGTTTTCTGAACACTTAAAGAAGAGGTGTTAACATCCCTTTCACTAATTCATTTACACAGTTAATATGTACAAATAGTTAAATGCAGTGGTTAAACTTCAGTTATTAGATGGTATGAATATTCTCTACTAATTAAGAAGGCTATTTTCCTTCAGTATTGCTAATATTCTGGTTCAGTCATGACATTTTATTATTCATATCATTTTCCTGGTCACTGTTCTCTCAAGTTTCATATCTATGTGCTTAACCCACAGATCTCTTGACCTTTAACTACTTAAGAACTGGCAGCACTTCACTGGTATCTTTTCTGTTTCAAACCTTCTTGATAGCCCAAGATCCTCTCTGTGTTTCACCTTTGCTTGATAAAACACCAGGGATATCAATAATTACATTACTAGGCCCAGATGCTTTATGTTGTTGTTTTATCCAGTTTTTCAAAACTTCATTCTGGTTGATAAACTCACAACTTCTCAGAATAATTGATTACATTCACCTCTTACTTAAGCCTGAAGTGCTTATTTTATATTTACCATTTTTTTGTCTTCCCTGATTTGAGACTTTTACTCCATCCTTGGGCATCTCCACTCTGTTTTTAGAGCAGGTGCTCACCATTTGTGCCACAGGCTTGCTTTCCCCTGCTTTACCCCGAGTTCCCCCACGTCTCCTGTTCCTCACAATTTTGTGATTAACCTCTGCAGCAGGACAGCTGCCTCAGTAATCACCCTGCTCAGAACTCATCTGATTTCTCCCGAATGAATATTCAGAGTCCCCCTCTTTGCTTGCTAAACCTTTAAGTACCTCATTTCCTTCCCACGTCCTCTTCATCAGAGCAGATGATCCTAATTACGTCAGGTCCAGCCTGGATGTGATGTTTGAAGTTCTGCATTATGCTGGTGGCTGCGTTATCATCCAGCAGGACATCAGGGCTTTTATTTCTCAGCTTTACAACTGCAAATTTATTTTAGTTCTTTTTTTGCTTTGCTGCCCACTTTTGCTACTTCAGAGGGTACTGTGGGGGTCACACCGGTGAAGGTACCAGTTAATATGAAGACTAATTCAAAATGAACACCAAGTCACACCATTCACAGTCTTGCACATTTAATTTTTTATGTGAGTGGTTTGGTCTTATTGCTCCTTCATATTTTGCTACCTCTCCATCAGGCCTGGAGATGGTTTGGCCATGAGGAGGAATTTGTTGCTGGAAAGGGTGGTGAGGCCTTGGCAGGGGCTGCCCAGGGAGGTTTGGAGTGCCCAGCCCTGGAGGTGTCCAAGGCAGGCCTGGCCGTGGCACTCAGTGCTCTGGGTTGGGGGACAAGGTGGGGATGGGGCACAGGGGGGATTCCATGACCTTGGAGATCTTTTCCAACCCAAATGATTCTGGGATTCTGCTTTCCCTTGCCAGTGAGTCAGCCTCGAGGTTTGGTCGTAGATTTTATGCTCTCACAGGAACACACTCGCAAGGATCTCGCTGTGGTGGCTTTTGTGTTCCCCAGCTCCAATCCTGCAAACCAGATGTCAGATTCCATGGAGCACTTGCACATTATTCACTGGGCACCTTGAACCAGAATCACGTTATGGGTAGGGTTGGAAGGGCCCACAGTGGGCTCGTCTGGTCCAACCTCCCTGCTCCAGCAGGGCCATCCCAGAGCACATGGCACAGGATTGTGTCCAGATGGGTCTGGAATATCTCCAGCGGGGAGACTCCACACCCTCTCTGGGTGATCTGTTCAGTGCTGGGTCACTGCACAGCAAAGAAGTTCTTCCTCCTGTGCAGGTGGAACTTGCTGGGCATCAGTTCCTGCCCATTCCTCTTGTGCCATTGCTGGGCCCCCCCGAGCAGAGCCTGGTCCATCCTCTGCCCCCTCCCTGCAGACCCCACAGACCTGGGGGAGGTCCCCTCTCAGTGTGTGCTCTGGAGGCTGAACAGCCCCAGCTCCCTCAGCCTTTCCTGCTCCCAGAGATGCTCCAGCCCTTTGGAATCTCCGTAGGAGAATCATCTTCCAGCAGCTCCCTGTCCCTGCTGTGCTGGTGTGAGGTCATCCCTATTGCAGCCAAGAACCTCACTGATGTTCCCAATGTCCAGATCCGTTCTTCACTCATGAGATCATGTTTCAGCAGCAGTAATCTGTACTCTGTGACTTCCTCCCACCAAATGGTGTAAGTTTGCATTTAAAACTCTACATCAGGTGTGTCAACTCATTCCAGTGCCTGTTTTTCCCCATAAGGATCTAATTTGCATTAGGGAGATAAATGGAAAATTCAAATACTCAGGAAGTGTTTCTTTCTCCTCTTTTCTAAATCCACTTTTTTTGTGGTTGTATCTTCAGACCTTTAAACTCAAGACTTATATTATAGAGAGGGAGTTGGTTTCCAGGTGGTGGTGTGAGGCTCAAAGCAGTGCAGGTGTGTGGCCAAGAGGGGTTGACTGGGTGATGGATGCACAACTGAGCAGTTAAATCACAGCAAGACTCCATCTGATGACAGTGGAAACTTTATGGGGAGTTAGGAGGAAACACACACTGCAGCAAAGCTGAGGACTCTTCTGCTTCCCTGATTCTCCTCTTCACACATGTACCAGATGAGTTCTCTTTCTTGTCCTTATATAGTTGTCTTCTGCCAAACTGTATTTTCAGTTAAAAAAAAAAAAAAAAAAAAAAAGAGTCAGAACTATTTATGGTGTCTGAATTGTTACGGGGAATAATTAACATTAAAGATAATAGTAACTTACCCTTAGCAGAAAATATGTGTGTACCTGAGCGACAAAAAGTACTAAAACATTCCTGGAGTTTATCCATTAAGATACTTGTTTAAAAATAACTTACCAAGACGGTTTTGGAAGTCAGTGAAACAGGTAATAACGTTGCATATGGAGGCCAGAAGGTCTGGGCACGACCAGCTACGTACACTCAGTTTATTCCAAACCCACTGAACTGTCTTTTTTTCCCACTCTGTTATTATTTTGGGGAGTATCTTCGTTTATCTACACTCCAAAGGACACTTTTCCTTCCCTTTGCCAACAGGGACTGGTATTATCTGTTCAAAAACAAGGTGATTGCCTCGTGAAGGGTGGTAAAACCAGAATTTTGGAGATATAATCGTGTTGACTTGTCCAGCTTTCACAGGGAACTCTAACACAAAGGTGAAATAAATCCTGAGGGCAGACAGGGAGTGGGGAAGTAGAAGGGCTGAGGCTGAGACATAAACACCTCTGTGAACTCATGGAGGGGAATTTTATGGACAGTTTGGAAATCTCCAGCAATAAATAAGCAGCGTGGTTTGTCCTTTCAGAATATGAAATCGAGAGATCGTTTTTCCTGAGAATGAAGTGTGTCCTTGCCAAGAGGAATGCAGGATTGACATGCAGTGGATACAAGGTAATGTACACCAACTTTTTGTCCCACCCTTCGACTGTTCAACAATTGACAAGTTTATTTATTTAGGTGGGGTGGTTTTTCTTTTTTTACACACGTGCAGCTGAGAGCAGAATCTGTGATGAAAAGAATCAGTAGAGGTCCAAAGAATGCCACTCCTGATCGCAGATCCCCTTAGTATTGCAAGTCCAAACTCACAGTGAGATGCAGTTTCCTTTGTGGCACATTCCCACACCTTGATCCCTGCTCTTCCAGGCTGGGTGAATTAACTGGAGCCCAGCCACGGAGCTGCAAGGAGGGCACACAGCTGGCTCTTATTCCCCTGTGGAACTGGAGGCAGGAGAGGCAGGAACCCAGACACAGGAATTTGGAATTTTTCCACCTCCCTCAGCCTCTGGCTGAGCAGCCACCCAGTTGCACAGGTCACCTCGTTGGCCTCCAGGTGAATGTTATTCCAACCAACCATTGCCATCACCCCGAGGCTGAACGGTACTAAACCACTGTTTATAAATCTCGCTGTTTGTATTATTTTTTTTCTCTTTATGACATGAAATCAGGAGCCCTCAGCGAATGCCGAGGTTTTAGGGAAGCAGCTGCCACTCAGGTAGTTTTTATTTTCAGCTTTGCAGGTAGTTTTCATTTTCAGCTTTGCAGGGGGTATTTGCTGCTCTTTGAGCCACACAGAATAATTCTGTCCCCACCAGGCAGGGTGGTTCCCAGACAGCCTGGTGAGCATTCCTTTTTGTTTGAGTTATTCAAAACCCCAAAAGAAAAGCTTGCAGGAGAAGCAGAGCTCCTTAAAGGAATGTGTTCAAAGTGCAGCCGTGTATCTGTTTATTTGCCTACCTGGTTGGACTGATAATTCTTCATTACATGAGCCCTGTTTGCTCAGCTGCTTCCCAGCAAAAATGATCCTGTCCCAGAGCTGAATGTGAAATCAGGTAAAAGAGCAGAGCTTGTACTGGTGGTATCTCTGTGTTTTAATTCCCATTTATGACTTCTAGTCAGAGACATCGCCTTCTTTTGCTCTCCATTAAAAGTTTGCACAGTGACACATTTAAGGATTCATTTATCTGGAGAGTTGTCGGCCTAAATTTATTCCCTTTGACTGTACTTAGAGTCAGGATTTGATTTTTTTAAAAATCACTTTATTAGGTGAAGCACAGGAAAAACTCTTGGACTGTGTGATTTGGGAATTCAGATCTACTGAGAGATCTTAAAGAAGGTTTTCCTGTTACTTATACTTTTGCTAAATATATTAATCACTCAGCGACTGGAGAGGAGGAAGGAAGGTTATACAGGAGGAGCCTGTTTACAAGTTTAGTGGGTCGTTCAGGAATAATAAATACAGTGAAAATTAATTTCTTTCCACTGGACACAGTTAAAAGTCAAACAAATAGATAAATTAAGCTAAAGGATCTGTGTGTGCCTGATGCCTGCAGTAGAAAATTTCCAGAGGCACCCATGACTTCCAAACACCAGCACTGCATTAACTAAATCTTATGTTCTGGAATAGTCTCCAGGTTACATTTCCCCCTCCTCTTTAGCTGACATTGTGAATTTTTACAGCCTAACACCGACATTATCACCTCTGTGATTAGGAATTGTATGCAGGGATTCTGAAATCTGATCTCAGGGCTCGGGCGTGTGTCACAAAATATCATCTGGACTTGACCAGAGAAGTTAAAACTCATTTCTTGTTCATTTACACAAACAGCAATTAAGCCTTATAAATGGGATGAATTAGTATCCACTGGATTTTTAAAATGTCTGCTTTTCATGAGAATAACTTCTCAGAGTGTAAATGTTTTTATACACCTCTCTGTGTGCGAGGGAGATGGCCATTTCAAAAAAAGCAGCTTCCAGATTTTTTTATCAATGAACAGGAGTTCTATCTGTATCTACAAGAAAGCAATTAGATAGTCCCCAAAGAGCATGTGCTTTAATCCTGGATTAATCATGTGGGCAGTAAGCAACAGATTTTGTGTTTATTGTG